CATTTACTCGCCCTCAAGTCGTTCCAAACCCGTAAGACTTCCGCTCATCTTCAGAACACAAATCAAGATATTTTTTATGAAATCTGTTCATAAAATCGGTTTAGTCCAAATATCTAAAGAGACTCGATCGCTTTATATGATGAACATATTGAATTGAACTAAACCGCCAAATTCATATTAGTTTTACGATCTCTTTATGAACGTTTTGAAGCATCAAAGTGGTAGTTGTGTAGCTGTCAATGGAGGGACAGAAAGCTCTCAGATTTCTTCAAAAAGATCTTAATTTGTATTCCGAAGACGAACGAAAGTCTTAAGGGTGAGGGTGATGACAGAATTTTTATTTTTGGGGGAACTATCCCTTTAATTCCAGGCTTAAACAGGGCCACTGTAAGCCTCTCGTATCTTATAGCTTTATTTGTACTATGGTGTTATAATGGTTTTGCCACAGTACTTTTTTGTAAAAGACATGAATTGCTGTCTCTCAACAATGCGTTGTCGCTCTTTCTCAGGTGCACAGTAAGGACAAGAAGTACGTGTGTAAAGTATGCAGTCGCGTCTTCATGTCGGCCGCCAGCGTGGGCATCAAACACGGCTCTCGGCGCCACGGCGTCTGCGCAGACTGCTCGGGTCGAGGCATGGCTGCCCTGCTGGACCAGAACGGCGAGGACGGCTCCCCAGAAGAGGAACTCTTGTATCCCGGGGACCACCGTTTCCCTGACGACACCGCCGACGGAGACGGGGAAGAGGAGATGATGGTGGAGGCCGAGCTGATGGGAGAAGGTGAAGGCGAGGAGGAGAACGGGAAATGGCGAGCCGGCTCAGGGATGTCGCAGCGAGACGACAGAGCAATGGACGATGGCAAAGAGGAAAGTGACTCGGCTCTGGAAGGAGACGCCAGAGCGGGAAGCGAGAAAGACTTCAGTTGGATCTCCTAGTCCAATGCCTGAATCCTATTCCAAGGTCGACCACCTGTTCCTGTAAGGAGATATGCTTAAGGTGAGGCACTCGGATCTCAGTATGTGGGAGGAGCCGGATACAGAGAGATCCTTGAGATGCCCACAGGGCTGCCAAAGGAGAGACAATGGAGAGCCTTCTCGCCCTGACTCCGTGTGCTTCTGACCCAGGCTTCAGTTTGTCTCCTTTCTTCCTTGAGGACCAAACGGGTTTCTGTGTATGTGTTTGCTATTTCTTCAGACAAAAGAGATTGTGTTGTCTTGGGAGATTGTCCAAAATCAGTACCATGCTTCGATGGGTCAGACAGAAAAAGTGTACGAAAGATGTGCTCTTGCCATATAGTCAGCTGCCACCAGGGGGCGCTGGCGAATCTATTGCGCAGCAGTTCACGTCAGAAGACTTGCACCAGTTTTTTGGCACATTGTTGTTTTCTGCGAAGAGAAACTGCAACAGACTTGCACTTTAAACGTTGACTAGATTCCTATTGATTCCCTGTTTCTGTGGTTTACATTTTTATTCCAATTTACATAGATGAATATGGTGACCGCACCTACCTTTAAGGATACGCAGTATGTCCTTATGACTGTTATATATGAACATTTGTGCTAGGTTTGCTAATTATTATGTATGCCTTGTAATGTTTTATTTGGTTGCAATTTTCATTCCTAAACATTGATATCAAGGGGAAAATCATGTATATAGATACATATAAGTGAGATGTTGATTTTGTGTTTTTCGACAAAGAACGGTTGTGGGGAAGGTGGGTGAACACTATGCAGAAACGAATCTTTCGAGTTCAACAATCTTTATTCTCTCTATTATGGGAGAGAAATCGAGTCTTCAGCAATGGCAAAAGAGAGAGACTGGAGGAGAGAGACTACATGAGTAGATTTAATATAATATTTCCTCATTATTTGCATTCCATAGTGGACACAGTCAGGGATGGGTTTGGTTTTATACAGAAGGTTTCCAGTGTGGCGTGTTTATAAGACAAAAACAAAAAACAAAAAACAAAACCTGTATGCAAATGTGTGTATTTTGTAGGTTTGGTGTGTGTGTGTGTGGGGGGGGGAGGTGTTTAACATCATTCAAAAGCCTTTACTGAAGCGCTTTCAGACTCTCTCCTCTCGTCCCTCTTTTTACGTATTTCGCGTTTCCTCGCAGCCTTGCCATTGTACTGTACTGAGTCTGCCTCTGAAATCTTAAAGCCGTGTGATGTGACGGAGATATCATGCCTTCCCACTAAATATTTATTGCTCTAACTTCTGGAATATCCAGAAATATGCATCGATTTCTTAATCAGTGAACCACAGCTTTCTTTTGTTGTCAGTCCATTCGAAATGACGAAACACAAAGACGCATTGTAATGAGACCCTGGGGATCGATGTGTGCTGTAGTGAAATTGCTGTTCACTTATTGGGATTAAATGGTTATTTATTTTGTTTGTGTGTGAGAGAGAGAGAGAGATTGTCTAGTCTTTTTACACATCCTTACCATTCTGTTTGACACTTTGTTTGTTTGTTTGTTTGTGTGTGTGTGTGTGTGTGTGTGTGTGTGTGTAGGACCGGGTTCATGAATGTCTTTTTATTCATTGTTTTAACAATCTGTGCCAGAATCTTTGACAATGGGAATAAAACGCTTTATTATGCTTTACTTGTTATGATTAACAAATTTTAAGTATTATGGTTACTGTTGATATTGTTGTAATTCTTATTGTTATTATCATTATGATTATTGTTATTATTATTAAGTGCTGGAGGCTAAGCTTTATTATCGGTTTCATTTTTACATTTCCTTTCTTGAAAAACAGTGTAAAACTTTCCAATCTTGCCTTTCTATGGACAGCAAGCCATGTGGCTTTCAGAAGTAATTATATTGTGCCAGTTCCATGCATTTCTGAGTGATATTTGAGATTTTTTTTTATTTTTTTTTTATTCTTTTTTTTTTTTGAAGGATGATCCTTCTGAGAGCTTAACTTAAGTGTTGACAGAAAGGTATATACAGCAGCACACGCTTCTATATTACTAATACACTAAGTAATGAATATTATACCAAAAAATAATAATCCGGTATACTTTGTATACATTTTGTGCTTTTGTTTCGATTTGGTGTGCAGGTGCAAAGCTTTGATCAAACAGTGATTTGCTTGGTTGATTCCATTTTTTCCCCCTCTACTTTGAGAAAGCACAGATTACGGTGTTGTGTTATGAAGGGCCACTTGAAAGTACATTTTTAAAGAAGAATCGCAGCTTTAATTCTGTTGCCCTTGGAAACATGCTCAAGTTTTTTATGAATGTGCTCTACTGTATGCCATCACCCTGTATCTGAGTTTAGAAGGCTGGCCACGGTCATGTGGAATTATGGGAAATGTATGCTTGGCAAAGAGTATTTGTGCAAGCTTTAGACCTCAAATGTCACTGGTCCAAGTGCCAGGCACAGTTGCTATCCAAATCCCTCCAAACGATTGGACATTTAGCTTTTTTCCTGTTTGTTTAATTTATTGTGTTCTTTACCTTTAATTGAAATAAAATCTGTTGGAATTTAAAGAGAAAATGGATCACATTATTTGAACCCATCACCAATTCAGCTTTTATACGTCTCAGTGATTCACAATCAGGGAACTTCTACAGGTTAAATACTAAAACTCTACGTCTAATAGAGTGTTGAATGAATACTATGTGTTAAATACTAAAATGCCTCTATGTGCTTGGCCTAAACAAGTGTGCTATTTTTTCCAAGTGTTTGTAAATGCATGCAAAAATAGGTTTTGCCCATGCTTACCATTTTATAAAAAAGATTACATTCTGCCAAAATTGGTGCACAAAATGGTGTTTCTGGCTTTGTGTTCATGTTTGGTTTAGCTGTCTTTCTGTTAAAACGAATCTTCTTGCTACAACCGAACAATAAGCCTCTTTTCAACACTGCAGACTTATTACAACAATACACATTGATGTATAATTAGTGTAGGTGGGAGAAAATTCTACATGGGAATTATGGTAATTGCTCAAAACATGTTGAGCGTTATTAATGTAAGAAAAAAAATGAAACTGATACAAGGGTCAAATGCAGATACTATATTTTCATACACATAAACATCATTATTTATTAATATGTTGCATGTTATTGAAGAGACAGAAAAAACAATGCCATTGAAAGATTGTTTCTAGGATTATTACTATTCATTGATTAATGTTCGTAAAAGTAAGGAAGAACAAGGATATCATGTAATAATTTAAGATGTTTCCTTTAGTATATTTATAGCTAACCTTCAAAAAATGTTTGATGATCATTCAACATAAATAAAAGATTATTAGTCTTTGTTGGTCTTGATCTGTGCTACAAATGATACAGTATTAATAGATTTAGAATATACTGAATGCCATCTATAAAGGGATCACCAAGAATATTATTAATATGTAACACTTTAATGGGATGCCTTGTTTTTCTGGTGTAATATTATAAAATGAGTGGAAATTGTGATTATGCAATATTTGTATTTTAAGGTGACTGTCAACACACACTTATTTTTAAGCCACACTTTACAACAATTTTAGCTTTCCAAACATTTCCGACAAACTACACTTGCTCAAGTATTTTTCCTCCAACGCTAGACAACACTAATGTTTGTGGAGTCTTTCCATCCTACATCAGCCTGCTTTTCCTGACCGCCCAGCTTCCCCGCCTGACTGTTGTGTTCAACATCAGACAGATTTTATTTCTGTCCTCATAGAACTGTGGAGGATTAGGGGTCAAATCACTATATATTTCTAGTGCTGATGGTACGCAGCTTTTTAACACATGTAACAGGCCTGTTTTACTGGCCTTTCAAACAGCCAGGTTTACAATGTCTATTTTTCTTTGGTCATCCTGTAATTCCAGTTAAATAAAACGTTTGTAGCTGAAGTTAGCGTCTGAGCCACCGGGGCCGCTTGACTGGCATGTCCACCTGCTGCTGTTTTTCTCCACCCTACTCTCTCTCTCTCTCTCTCTCTCTAGTCTGTCATGTTGAAATTCAGGGGACGGACCAGCTGACTCAAGTTGCTGAAAAAAGTCTATGTCTGTATCTCCCCACTTGTTCCATAAATACCATCCCCTCTGTTGAATGGAGGTTATTTTAGATCGTACATGTGGCATAAGGCATTGAGTCCTGCCACGACGGTCGCTGCGCTTCGAAACCAGTGGCTTTAGTTGAGTTCTTGAAAACACTAAGGTGGACATGTCTGAGCACACGGATCAGGAGTCATACACAGAGGAGATCGATGAGGACGAGATTCTGGCAGGCCTCTCGGCAGAGGAGCTCAAACAGCTCCAGAGTGAGATGGACGACATTGCTCCTGACGAGAGAGTACCGCTGGGAATGAGGCAGAGAGACGCTTCTCATGAGACGACAGTCCAAGGTATTTTGTTGTTAATATATTCAGCCGTTTGTTGCCATTAATCTTGAGAAAAAAATAGGTGATCTTTGTAAAAAAGCTCTGAGGTGCTGAAAGAAAATGAGTTTAACACTCAGCCTACTCCATCTCTAACTAACTCCCAGAAGACCAGTGCTAAATCTGGTGGCAGTACCGTACTGTAGTTTTAAGTAAGGAGCTTTAAAATATATTTAAGAAATATCAAGCTTGCATTCATGTTGTTGTACTGAACATATTAGCTGTCCTGACATTCAGTACAAGATGTGCAATATCACTTAAAGGGATAGTTATTACAATTTTCAGACAAAATGTGTCCAAGTTTGTATATTTGCATTCCCTCGATTGTCTGACTAATATCAGGCAGGGAGAGTGATTAAGAAACCTGTTTGGGTGATGCCAGTGGCACAGAAATTACTCAGCTATTTAACAGCATACATATGGTATTTATGCCCGATATCCGACTTTCATTGGTTTTACACAACATAGTCACATAAATTTTTAAGAAAACAAGTAAATTTTAAGTTTAACGATTATTTTACAGTGTATATTTTTTCTATTTCAGATTGCAGCGAGCCCCAGTCAGAAGAAGAGATCGATGAGGACGAGATTCTGGCAGGCCTCTCGACAGAAGAGCTCAAACAGCTCCAGAGTGAGATGGAAGAGATCGCTCCCGATGAGAGAGTGCCGGTGGGAATGAGGCAGCGAGACCAAACTGACAAACCACCCACCGGATCATTTGATCACAGATCACTGGTGGAATATATGTACTGGGAGAAAGAGTCCAAACGCATGCTGGATGAGGAGAGAGTTCCCACAACTCTATTACCCAGTCAGGTAAGATAAGTCATTGTTTGTGTTGTTTACATTCAGAGCATATCATGTAAATATAAACTGTTTTAATGAAGTGCTTCGAACTCTGATTATTAATCATCAAATTTGACTATTTATAACTGCTGCAACCAGGAGGCCAATAATACTTCAACAACAAATGCTTTGAAACAGCAACTGTGCTGTAAACAGGACATTCTATTTTTAGGCTTTGAGTAAGTTGCTGGAGATTAAACGTTTCATAATTTGTAGTCTTTAAAAGTTGTTCAACTCTTCAGTTTTGACCCTTCTGTCCATTTGTCATCATCAGAAGAAAACCGATGAGGAGCTTGAAGCAAAAGAAGAAGATAAAGTTGAAGAGGTGGAATATGTCTATGAGGAGATCATTGAGGAGGTTGAGGGAGGAGAGGGAGATGTTGTTGTTGATGAAGTGATAATGGAGGCTGAAGAAGAGGACAAAAAAAGGAAGCAGCCTGTCGAGAAAGAACTTGATGCCACCGACCCCATAGTGAACTCAGAAGATGGTTTACAGCCGCCTCCAGAAGCTGCAGATACAAAAGTTGAAGCAAAGACTGAAGAATCAGGACTTAATGAGACAGAATCTAAAGCGAACGAGGAGAAGAAAGCTGATTCCACCCAGTCTGAACCTGCTCCCTCTTCATATGAGAACTGGGTTCCCGAGAAAGAGGAAAGGGTCATATCCAAGCTGAAGATCCCAAAACTCACCCTAGGTGGAAGCACTTTTGTTAAAAAGACCGCAAGACCTTCTGGGAATGAAACGAATTTGGAGACCACTTTGGATAAGATCCACAACAATAATGCCTCTGTCACAGATGTCAATCTCAACAACATTGAAAACATTCCCAAAGTAATGCTCCTTGATTACGTCAATGCTCTCAAGAAGAACAGACACGTTAAGACCTTCAGCATCGCAAACACCGGTGCGGACGAAAACGTGGCATTCGCTCTGGCTAACATGCTCAAAGAGAACAGAAGCATCACCACACTAAATATCGAATCCAATTTCATCACAGGAAAAGGGATTGTGGCAATAATACGTTGCCTCCAATTCAATGAGACACTTACTGAGCTCCGCTTCCACAACCAAAGGCACATGCTAGGACACCATGCAGAAATGGAAGTGTCTCGTCTCCTCAAGGCTAACACCACTCTTCTGAAGATGGGCTACCACTTTGAACTCCCTGGGCCTCGGATGGTGGTCACCAATCTCCTAACCAGAAACTTGGACCGTCAGCGTCAGCAGAGAATGGAGGACCAGAAGCACCAGCAGATGAAAGAGCATAGAAAGCTCATGGAGATGTATGAGAACTCTCTCAACTTGCCCCCTGGCATGTTGGAAATGCTAGGAGGCTACATACCGTTGTCCCTACTGCAGGGTTCTCAAGATGGGGCTGAGGAGAGTCCTGAGGGTTCTCCTGAACCTTCACCACAACCAAGTCCTCCTCAGCAGCTCCGCAAGACTCAATTTCTTGACCCACAACAACATCCTCCTAGTTCAGACACAGGAATCCTCTTAAAGGAAGTACAACTGAAAAAGACTCCAAAACGAAGGGATCCACTTCTGGAACTGAACCAAAGGGATGAGAGGAAAGAGGGAAGAGCTAATGTTCAGCTGAGGAGTGTTCATAAACAAAGAAGCACAGCAAGAGAAGGACCTACAGATGAGAGAGCCAAGCTGAAAGATGTGATAAAGACTCTAAAGCCGGTTCCTCGAAGGCGACAGCCACCTAAAGTGGATCCAACACCTCGGGATCAGTTGCTCAGCGAGATTCGACAGAGCAACGTGGCTTATCTCAAAGCGGTACGTAGTGTTGAAGTCTCTCAAGTTAACAATTAATTAGTTGCTTTGTGCACATGCACAAACTCAGCTTGAGTGGGGGACATTGTCAGGGAGGGATACTGGGAACTGTTGTTCTTTTAACAATGGGGGCACACTAAGGTCTTCTATGGCAGTGGTTCTCAACTGGTCTTGCTTCAGGACTCCGATCAAGTGCAAAGTCAACACAGTACAAAAATTTCCATAAAAATCAAACAATATATTATGTACAGTATTAACCTTTCTTTGTTTATGTATTAATGTTACTATGAACTGCACAGACCTACATACATACAAAATTAATAACAAGGCATTGTCTGAATTAGGGATGCCAATTTACATAAATTCCCATAATCTAATGTTGTTTAAATTAACAATGGGTTAATCAATGACCAATCTCTTAAATCCAAAGCGGGCAGAGGGGGCGCTACTAAGTTATCACATTACTTGACAACCACTCGCTTAACCAACACAAAATAGCTGTCGTTTTAAAGCGTAGAAGCTTGGCTTTACAGTGAATATAGGGAATATGACCATCACTTAACAAGTGCTTTTAAATTTGCTGACATATTAGATGTGCTCTATGAAAAAATAACTGCTTTACATGAAAACGTGATCTGTAAAATCATTGTATATAACTTGTGTCATGTATCGTTGAAAGGTCTCAACAAGCAGAATACAACAAACGTATTTGTTTCAGTTAGACCAAACTATACCAAGTATTGTATGAAATAGCACGGCTGACGCATAAAATACATATGATGTATATGATGCCATGTCTATATTTTGCACCAGGTTTTTGTTTGTACCTTCGTGAAACATTAGTAAACCATACTAGATTGTAAATCTTTATTTGAAGCAGGTGGTCTCGAGCAAGCCCAAACACAACATAAGACAATGCATAGATCACGGAGTGGCATGACCGGCTACTTGGCTAAAGCTATAGAACTTCCCTTCCAGGATCGGATCGTGTTGCAATTATAATGCAGTGTTTTCCAACGTAATTTGAACGTTCAACCAATGGAAACTGGATCTCAGGGGTGGTGGGTGGGTATAGTGGATAGGGAAGATGTGTAGACCAATCGGACAGTTTTACAGCTGGAGTGTGCTTGGATTGGTTTGATCACTCAGACTGACAGGTTTTTATTTATCGTACGCCATAGAATAGGAGCGCACTGCTGAAACAGAGATGGAAAACCATTACTCATCCACCAGGATCTTATTACTTGTTTATTCTATGTACTTTTATTGTGGCGTTTACACAAGTAATTCTTTTGTTCAGTAAAATTACTTTCAAGGGTTTTTTGACTCTTGATTAATTATGTTTCTAAGTAAACATCTAGCTTACCTAATCCGTTGCATCATGGCTTGAATTACTAACAGCTTGCACCAGCGCAAACCCTCTATTGGCGGCAAAAAACTACTCTCAGGATTTATTAAAGACACGCAGTGAAAAATTAGCGCTGAAAAGGCATGGACAGGGTTATTTTCGCGGCTGACCTTATTGCATATGCATTTTGTAGGAGTTTCCCTTTCAGACGCAAAATTTATGGGAGGAGAGTTTTTAAATAAACAAAACAAGGTGATTTAATATGGTTTGCGCTCGTTAATTTACTGGTATTTGCACCATTATTTAATGGGCCAAAAAAAGCATGTCTTAAACCAGACGCTAATTTGCGCTGCTCTTGGTAGATTGTGTTGGTCATTATGGAAACGATCCGGCTGCGTCTGTGTCACCCATTAATTTGGGTGTCGTCAGAAGATCACGCGCAGAACATTCCACTCCCATCGGCGCTTTTATGGAATTGCGCTCTCATGCTACTTTGCCCTGTTTAGTAAATCAGGCCCTAAGTGTCTTCGACTTGACACTGTGCAGACAGATCGGTGTGTGACATCAAAGTAAAGCAAGAGCGATTAGAGAGCAGATGCCGTAATATGTAACTACGCCGTGCTCGCTTCATTTTTCCCTGTGTGTCTGCTGTACATTTTGCGCATGAGCCGCACACACCTCAAAATTACGCAACCTTCGACCATCGATAAGTTTTCGATTAAATAATTATCGGCAATTAATAGATCTTCGATTAATCGTTAGCGCCCCAAGTCTGAATCTAGAAAAAAAAATGTATTTTGTAAATGATATTGTTTCTGTAATTTGTACGTATTTTAAGGTAATTTCAAGGTATTTTCTTTTCCCTTGTGTAGTTTTTGCATTTGAATAGCTTCTATGAAGTCTATGCTTCTATGAAACAGTCTCTAGCTTCTATGAAACATGAACTGGCTGACTTGCCATTCATTTTCTCATGCTAACTTTGCATTTAGCATTGTTTTTACACAGCAGTATGTGGTCAGAACAGAACTGCAAAACACACATAAACACATACATAACCTATCAATTGAGAAGCAGAAGCACTGCTTTATTATACTGCATAGATTACTCATTGTGCGTCTGTCCCTGACCCCCATGAATTTGAATGGCTGTGCTAGTGTGAGCCAAAAAAAAAAAAAAAAACATTTTAGATTTTTTTTTTGTTTTTTTGTTTTTTTTTGTAGAGACTTGCTGCCACCTACTGGCGGCTTTTGTTTCCCATTTTAAAGTAGGCCCATTATTTATTTATTTTTTCAACATTTAATATTTCTATAATCAGTTTTATATTTAAAACATTAAGCTCATAACATTATTGATGAAATTTTAATTACAGCGTAAATGCATTAATGCCATATCTTCTTAATATCACTTCATGCAGCTTCTGTGCAGAGCTAAGATGAATTTTGTTTAGCCTACTGGTCCACTGATTTCATTTGATTGGTAAAAATAGCCAGTATGTATGAAAATTTTGATCATTTTGTAGATTTGAATAATGAATTAACACAATACTGAATTGTATTGTGATACTACTTGGAACCGTGATACTTCAGCAGCTGGTATAGTATCATGAGACATTTTTATGATATCGTGACAACCCTATTGAGGAGGAGAGATGTTTCCTTTTACACTGACATATCTTTGTTATTTTATTTACTGTGATATTGTAATGCCAACTGAAAAGCTGTCAGTGATCTTGAAATGTACTGATGGTCTAAGAAAGTAGTACCAGCATTGTGTTAAAGTAACAACAGGTAACTTTTCAACCTTCATAATATATTTCCAAGTCTCTTGTGATGGTACATCGACTTACAATAGGTTGAATGACACGTCTGCCATAGCCTGACGGGGTCTGTAGCGTTTTTAATCGTACTTTTAAACTTCGGGTTTCGGGTAGTAACCGGCGAACAAAGAGAACTACAAAATTCGACTGCTTTACGGCATATACGTCACTTCCACCACCACCCCCACTTCCTTAAAATCGGACTTGCGAGCCAAATGTTATAGTCATGGCCGAAGCAGCACAGAAAAACAAGAAAGCAAAGGTTTTATCGGAGCAAAGCAAAAAGAGAAAGTGATCGCGTTAAAGGCAGAACGAGGATCAACATTGCAGAGCTGCCAACTCTCACGCATTGGCCGTGAGACACCCGCATTTGATTGGTTTCACACGCTCACACGCCACACCCCCGGTTTCTCACGCTAAATTGTCAACCCGGTCGGTCAAATCCCTGAAAGATGAGTTTATCTATAGATCTACCTGTTGAGCCACTCGTGATCGACAAGTTATACCGCAAATTAGTTCAAATCTCCCGGAATCTAGAGCGAGCGCGCACGCGAGACAGAGACTGTGCTCCAACGCGCGCGGACGGCAGAGAGAGAAAGCGAGCGAGAGACCTTGCGTGTGCAGGGAGCATCAAACCCCCCATCGAAAAAAGAATGCCTCTCTCTAACCTCTCTAATTCGCTAGAGTAGTAGCGAATTATCAATCTGGTAGCTAGTAAACGATATTCTAGTTTTTGATGGTTAGCTATCGCTAGTATTCTCGTTCTGATTTGAACTTTGCAATCGATGAAATGCAAATAGCAAATGTTTGACCTAAAAAGTGTAGTCTACTCAACATGTACAAAGAAAGGAGGAAGATTATTAATAAAATCATATTTTAGGATACCTAACATGTCTGTGATATTTGTTTATTTGTCTTGCCTCAAGCTATAATGCAAATCGATTTGTAAAATTTGCAGATTCATTTATGGTAGCTTGATATTATAATATTGACGATATATGGTTATTATCAACCACTCAAACATTGCATTGAAGTATCATATAGATCCAGTAAAACGGTAACCAATAGACTAGGCTACTATAATGACGCTGGCTTGTAAACGTGAGCATCGCGATCATTTGTCGTTAGAAAAAAAATAAAACCCATGAAATTATATTCATATGACATGCTGAAATATATGCCACTGTACCTGGGATGAAGACATTTCACACGCGATGCAAGCAGAACACCTGCATGTGACCTCCTCCTACAGTGTTCAGGGCTATCCTGGTTGTCAACAATTGCAAGTGCATGTAGGATGACAGAGTTTACGACAGTAGTAGAGGACAATACTGTTTCCCAACTGTAGGGGGAGCCCGAGAGCAAAAAACGACCTGTTGTTACTTTAATATAATTTCAAAAGAGCTTACTTTTGTTTCACACCCACAGGTACCTCTTCCAAAAATCCTGGAGTCAAGCGAAACCAGTCTCTTCTGAGCCACACTCATGACTTCAGAGAGAGAGGGAGACCATGCAGAGGGACAGATCATGGATCGAGGACAGATCATGTGGCCAAATGATTCCATGGTGCTCCTCAAGGAATGGACAGAGTAGAGTGTTACGTAATAAGAGACAGCAGTTGCATAATAATAAGCCACAACACGGTGGGCACTTTGATGAGGTCCTGAACTGTAAAATTCAACATGCACATCTATTTATACTACCAACCCTATCACTAAATGTCTGAATGTTTTTTGGCAACACATAATGCACATGGTAAATGTATTCATTTGTTTGTCTGAAATTGTGTTCATGTACTTATAGTGTTAATAAACTTAATAGTGTAAATGTCACACTGGACTTTTTCTTAATTATATTCTAGTGACTGTTATTACGATAATTATGTAAATGTAGTAACGTTTTGTTTTTTTCAGTAAGCGCTTTTTTTCTCAGTTACATTCCTCTTCCTACACAAGGGGCAGCCAATTAATGTTTGATCTCAAACTAATTTACGAAAAAATATTGCATTAAGCAAAAATACATTTGATCTTTACCCAAAGTTACAGTCAAGAAACTAAAGTCTAGCTAAATTCGACTTGTACATCAGTAATGATTATTTAATACAATTTAAACAACACAGCAAAGTACATAAACACATTATTATGGTAGGCCCCGTTATTATAGGCCAGGCTTAAAATGCACACTTAGTTTTAAAGGGGTCATATAATGGTACATGCACTTTTTCAAGTTGATTGTACTGAAATGTGTGTTGGCAGTGCCTGTACACAACCATCATAAAATGATAAAAATCCAGTGTTTTTGTTTTAATCTCCTTATATGTTTTCCCCTGCCTCAAATCGAGCCGTTCGACCGTGTGACGTCACACGGTCGGACGCCCCTCCCGCGATTGTTGATTGACAGGAGCGTTTCAACACAGACCCGCCCTCGCTCGTGAGGGAGCTGTTAATCATAGTCTGCGCGGACCGGTGCGGTCATTGTTGATATGCTGGAGCACTGTCTATGGGGCTGTTTACACCTGGCCACTTCATGCGTTTTCTGTGATCGGATAGCTATCCGATCGTTAAAAGACCAGGTCTAAATGCCCTCCGAAACGCATTCGAGACGGATTTGAATCCGATCGCTCAAACCACTTCAGGAGGTGGTCTGGGCCGCATTCCAGATGAAACTGGACAAGTGTAAATGCATCTGGTTGTTGAAACCACATATGTAAATTTTACTCCTCCCAAAAAATGCTCAAAAATAAACGTGTGAGAGCGTGTTATATAGGCTATATGTCATGTTATAGTCAGATATGACGACGCTACTGCAACACGCATTACCGCAGATGAGCAGCTGAGCATCTATTCATCAAGCCAACGTGCAAACTATCGCAAATCAAAGTGAAAGTAAGTCGCAGACGCTTAACACGCAATCATCTTCATTAAAAGTAAAGAAACGAAATGATCTTACCAGGGCTGTTGCTGCTCTCTCTTATTGCGGTCTTTGATTTTGAAATTAGCTGATGATCAATAAAATGCAGCTCATATCTGTTGCTTTCGGTGACGTGCACTGACGTGAATCTGCATAGCGCGGGAAGTGAATATCGGATTTATATCCGTTTTGCAAAAACACATTTATGTGACCAGGTGTAAATGGAATCGTTTTGATAAATCAGATAGCTATCCGATCTGAGAAAACGCATCAAGTGGCCAGGTGTAAACAGCCCCTATGAGCAGAATGGAAATCCGAACCGCTGAAGACGCAGTGGCTGAGTTTGTTTTCGAAGGGAATATTCCCCACGAGCAACGTCAATGCTCTCACGTCAATGCTCTCTTTGCGCGAATCATTTCTCACACCAGACTGCTTTATAAACGAGGAGGTATGAAGCTGGTTTTGCTAAGAAGCTGCTCATGAAAAAAGGATCGGTACCAACTATTCGTGTTCCTGCTGAAGCTCTAGAACAACTGAAGTGAGTGTAACGTTGTATTAACCTTTATATTAATATTTATATCTTTGCAAATTGCTAGCTGCACGCTTCACAATGAATGCGTCTAAGGTTTACACTCAGGGTACATTACGGCATGTTTTATTTGTACAACGTTCTCAATATAATTCATAATCCCAAGTTTGCCAGCGAGTTATTCTTTTTCAGTTTCAAAGATATTTTATTCAGTTTCAATTGATATTTTCATTGATTTCTTGAAAAGTTACGTTCATTTTTATCGGCACAAAAATAATTCCATAAACAGCGGGTCGACATTAGATGCATTCCATTCAGTTGCCGAGCACCTTACCAGTTCATACACCAACAGCTTACAGCTACACACTTGAGATCAGCTCCTAATGACTCTAATGAAGCTGCGTCTTAATTTATTGCAGGGGGATCTTGCTGTAAGGTTTGGTGTTTCTCAGTCCATTGTAAGCAAGGTGATTTCGCGTTGGCTTGACATCATGGAGGAGAAGTGTTTCCAAACACAACATGTAGGGCTGCACAATATATCAAAATATAACAAATGAAAATATATCGCAATATGCATAACTTTTTTAGCTTTAATAAGAATCAGTGTATATATATATACACTCACCGGCCACTTTATTAGGTACCCCATGCTAGTAACGGGTTGGACCCCCTTTTGCCTTCAGAACGGCCTCAATTCTTCGTGGCATAGATTCAACAAGGTGCTGGAAGCATTCCTCAGGGAGTTTGGTCCATATTGACATGATGGCATCACACAGTTGCCGCAGATTTGTCGGCTGCACATCCATGATGCGAATCTCCCGTTCCACCACATCCCAAAGATGCTCTATTGGGTTGGGATCTGGTGACTGTGGAGGCCATTTTAGTACAGTGAACTCATTGTCATGTTCAAGAAACCAATTTGAAATGATTAGAGCTTTGTGACATGGTGGAAGTAGCCATCAGAGGATGGGTACATGGTGGCCATAAAGGGATGGACATGGTCAGAAACAATGCTCAGGTAGGCCGTGGCATTTAAACGATGCCCAATTGGCACTAAGGGGCCTAAAGTGTGCCAGGAAAACATCCCCCACACCATTACACCACCACCACCAGCCTGCACAGTGGTAACAAGGCATGATGGTTCCATGTTCTCATTCTGTTTACGCCAAATTCTGACTCTAACATCTGAATGTCTCAACAGAAATCGAGACTCATCAGACCAGGCAACATTTTTCCAGTCTTCAACTGTTCAATTTTGGTGAGCTCTTGCAAATTGTAGCCTCTTTTTCCTATTTGTAGTGGAGATGAGTGGTACCCGGTGGAGTCTTCTGCTGTTGTAGCCCATCCGCCTCAAGGTTGTGCGTGTTGTGGCTTCACAAATCTGCCGTGCAAAGGCAAAAGACCGTAACTTCGTTTTTGGTCGAAAATGAGTTATTGATATTTTTGGCACATTCAAGACCTCCTTTATCATGTGGATAAGTATCTTGAGTCAATTCCGTTGTTTTTTCGAGAAAATAATGGTTTGTCTTAACCGTAACTTCCAAAAGCCCATGAGAAACCAAGGCAGAACACCGTAACACCAGTTACGGCTCTTTGGCTTAGTTTTGGAACGCTCATATTGAGTTACGGTACTCTGCCTTTGTTTAGCCGCGCGTCAATATGAAGTTACGGTGCTGGCGTTCTATCAAATAATGCTACCTATCAGATTATACGGTGTTCTGCCTTTGTTTTACTCTCTATTAAAATTGAAATTACGATGTAGCCTGTGTACTTACAGCTACCATCCGTCCGTGTAACTTATGATGTCCTCAGAGCTTTGTCCTGCACTAATGCGGTCAGAACATTTAGTAGCCTAGGCTATGCTCTAACCCGCTCCATCGACAAACGTGCGATATCGATCGCGACGGATATGCAGAGTTGACAGAAAAATGTTACACATGCCGAAGCAGGTCAATACAACAACTAAAGCCCCGCCTCACCCAGTTCGGGTACCGGACCTAGTTGAAACCATCATGCATCTAGCTGGCAGACTGCCAAAACTTCGCCGGCGCCTTCAGCTCCGCCCTGAACACGGTCGAGCCGACGCGGGACTAATATATCACAGAGTGATAATAATATTGGCGCATACAGCATAATGAAGCAAGAAGTGCTGGTGCATACAACATCAGAACAGCTGTTAAAAGCATGCATACAAAACACAGCGTCCGGAATAAATCCGCGGAACGAGCCAAGTGCACGCACTATAATAGGGCAGACAGCTGAAACCACCAACGCATACTGAAAAGACGCAGAACACAGAAGGTTGTGCTTTAAATGCATTAGTCGTCTAAGTAGTCCAGAACGCGCTCCCTACTGAGTCCTAAGGAATAAAGCACTGCATTGACTACTTTTCGTGAACGGATCGTGACACCTTCGAACACGAATCTCGGTAAACAATCGCCTGTGAAATATGCGTCTTTCAGATTCACCGCTATAAACCAGTCTCCGGGTCGAATGAGCGCGAGGATCTGTTTTATCGTGATCATTACATTACATTATAACGCGTGTTTAGCAAGTCTTATGCCACTCGGTAGGCTACCACTTGAAGATATTTAGTCTTTACCGATTTGGAGGTATTTTGTCATGTCTAATGTATTAATAGGGCCACCAGAACGGAACCAAAACACAATAACTAGAAGGCTAGGTAATTGTAAGTCATACAAAATAAATGCCATGACCACTAGATTTTAAACAGGTTTTACTATAATGATTTTGTTAATGGTGATCAGCAACCAAATATTGATAATGTGGAAGTTATGCCTTTTGCCTTGGCATGACTTCTCACTTTTTGCTGACAATACAAAGGCAGAGTACAGTAACTTTAAAATAGTGGTCAAAAGTCAAGTTTGAGCTCAAAATTATGTTATGTAGATAATTTTCATTACTTAAACATCTAATTGCCAGATTTTCAGTGTCCTACCTATAATTAATTTGGCGGGACAACTAAAAATCTTTAAAGTCATTTTTCTCAGTTCCACACTCTAGCGAGTTAAGGTCTTTTGCCTTTGTAGGGCAGAAATGCTTTGCTGCATACCTCGGTTGTAACGAGTGGTTATTTCAGTCACTGTTGCCCTTCTATCAGCTCGAACCAGTCTGGCCATTCTCCTCTGACCTCTGGCATCAACAAGGCATTTCCGCCCACAGAACTGCCGCTCACTGGATGTTTTTTCTTTTTCGGACCATTCTCTGTAAACCCTAGAGATGGTTGTGCGTGAAAATCCCAGTAGATTAGCAGTTTCTGAAATACTCAGACCAGCCCTTCTGGCACCAACAATCATGCCACGTTCAAAGTCACTCAAATCACCTTTCTTCCCCATACTGATGCTCGGTTTGAACTGCAGGAGATTGTCTTGA